ACAGTGTGATTATTGTCAGGCCTATAAAGTTTGGCAAAAAAAAAAAGTCAGCTGATCAAATGCATTTGCCTCACTTTATGAGCTTCACAATACTTGTGCCTTGTCCCGCAGAGTTTGCAATGTCACAAATAAATGGTGCCAATCTTCAGTCAGATGTGAATGTGTAATTTAACATTTTCAGTAAGAATAACGGACAAAAGGAGTACAAATACAATTTATTGAAATGTGAACTAAAAGTGATCAAGCATGAACCATCACCAATTTTTTAAATAAAAACGAAATAATATACATAAATTACACTAAATGTTAATCTGTTAATTGACAGGCTAGGCCTGTGCAGGTGGTAACAGCTATGCCCAGCCCAGGTCCTCCTCCCTCAGGCCTGGTCCTCCTCGCAGGGAAAGACCCTCAGCCCTCTCTGGCCAAAGCAACAGATAGGACGTTCATAAAGCTGAGGTTTCCCCCAAAGTCTCTAATCATCCATCCTGTGAATATGAGAGGGGAAACCTAGTGTAATAGATGCTTTGGACAATAAGAAATATAAAGTTAACTGTTGAGTTGCTCAGTTTTTTTTAGATTGACAGGGATTAATAATACAAACAAAAGGAGAGGCACCGTAAAATAAAGATTGGTCTTTCAATAAATTGTGTTGATTTTGTCTTTTGAATTGTTTGTCTAAAGTCAAGTAGCTAGAACTGTTACTTATAGTTTGAATGATACAGTGGTTATAATGTTTGGAGGAGGCATCACAGGTAAGAGCACCATTTGTTGTGTTCCATCCACAACAAATGCACACAGATTGATGTGTGTATTTATTTATCTACTATTTCTTGAATCATTACTGTCAGTCCAAAACAAGAGATTTTGTTTTAGTAACATGTTTTTAAAACATTATCTCTTTTCAACTACACTATCTTGAATATTTTCGTTTTTACATCACTACATTTATCTAACAGCTTTAACATTGTAAAGGTGTCACTTTGGACTATGGGTAATTATGACGTGTCCTACTATTTTGAGAGTTTGAACAAACCAGATCTTCATCTATTAATGTAGAAAATAGTCACCACATTAAACCATTATGAAAGTAATAATTAGTTAGCTCATTGTTCAAAATGAGCTCCAACTACAACAGTTAAGTCAATTCTTGCATCGGTAATAACAATAAAACAAATGATATAATATAATAGTATAACTTGTGTCTACTTTAAATACTTTAACAACACTTTCCTGATTATACTGGCATACTTTTACTAAAGTAACATTAACATGTTTAAATGCAGGGCTTTTGTAAAAGAGTATTTGTATAGTGTAGCATGGTCTACTTGACTTATCTAACCAAAGTGATCGTAACGTTACTTTGCAAACCATCACACCCCCACCCCCCACACACACACAAAAGGACACGTTGTGATTCACTTCCATTAATGATAACTACGGAGCTTGCTAACAGCAAGGCACAAGGCTACTTCACTCATTTAGCTAGTGTAAGGGACTGAGAGGCAGAGTAGTGGGAGACACCTACATTCCCAATAGGTGGCTCCACCCGCTTCCAATTAACAGTATTGGGAGCAGGTGTGGAGACCTCACACCTGGTGCTAATCACTCCCTCAAGGGAGATAAAAGCACCTAGAGTTGCTCAGTTGTGTGTGGCACATGGAGGGAGCAGGAGACTCCCAGCGTGAGGAAACAGTTTTAAGCTGGTAAATCGGTTAGCGTTCCGGCTACGTTAGCCTTTCTATAGTTAAAGGTATTTTTGAGTTTAACAGCAATAAAGCCTCTTTTTTGGACTTAAACACTGCCTCTGTCGTGATTGCTGCACTACCACTTTTCTCTTTATCTGCCCAGTCCTGTTACACTAGTTAATGTAAGATACAAACACTGCCGAGTAGAGGCGCGGGAAGGTATTTTGAATGGGGGTGCTGAGGTGCTGGACTCCAGTGAACACTATTACGGGTACTATAGAGCACGCACAAAAGCACGCCCCACACGCAAACACACAGTACACCCGCGACTGTTACAATGAAGGCTCGATAATCAGCTCACGGCATATAGGCAGCGGTAAAGTGCTATTTTTTTACGAGTGGGGAGCGCACCTGACCTCCTCTAGGGGGTCCGGGGGGATGCTCCCCCGGGAAGATTTTTTTTAAATATTGAAGTTAAAAGCATCAATCTGGTGCACTTTGAGAGCAACATTAAGAGATCTATGGATACATCTCTCAACACCCATATGAAACACAACTGTAAGCAGATGTTCTTTTTCTTTATGGATATTTTACAAATCACTCCCCTTTCAAACTGTATTCTTGTTTTACTGCCATATAGTATTTCATAACTGTTTTTCCTTTATTCTCTTATTTTTTTTATAACGATAATGATCATATGAAGGTGTGGCGCGGAAATAATCTTTTGAATAATTTGTGACCAAACCGTTTGAGACCTCCTGAGATAACTTAGACTAACGTTAACTATCTAAACACTCAGAGAGTCCTTTAGCTCGCCTGAGCCTCTTACGGCCCGTCCACACAGCGGCGTGCGTTGAAGCTTCCAACGCTTCTGCCCATTCACTTTGAATGGGGTGACGTCACTTTTAGCCGAACTGCATTTTGGGAAGCGACGTGGAGCGTTGCTGGCGTAGCTGGCGTCAAAAGTTGAGCAATGTTCAACTTTTGACGCCTCGACGGAGGCGTCAGCCAATGAAATCCCGTTTATTCAAATCTGCCAGTACAATCGCTAGCCAATCAAACCGCGTGTATGCTGGGAGAGACTACGCAGGTCATTTCCTCATATTCAAAAAAAATTGAGGGAAAATTCATTGTAGCGGTAGTGAATCACCCGGTGCTGTATGATCAGTCTCTGTTCATCTACCGGGATACAAACCGGAGGAGCGAGGCATGGAGGGAGGTGGCAGAGACAGTGGGTGAAACTGGTAGGTTTTCGCCTGTTTGGGGATTTTATATCCAGTTTACTTCGTTTTAACATTGCTATTGCTTTGTATGTCGGGGGCGGGAGATTCATGTGATTGGTTGTTGGTCGTGTTGCTCGCAAAAAATCCCCAAGCTTCAGATACGCCCACCTCCAAGCGTCAACGCACGCTGCTGTGTGGACGCTCCGTAACGGCCCGTCCACACAGCGGCGTGCGTTGACGCTTGCCGGCGGGCGTGTCTGACACTCGACCAACAACCAATCACATGAATCTCCCGCCCCTGACACACAAGCAGCGGTTGATTGGCTAGAGCTTGTACTGGCATATGATTCGATTGGCTGACGCTTCTGCCGAGGCGTCAAAAGTTGAAAATTGCTCAACTTTTGCAGCGAGCCACGCCAGCAACGCTCCGCGTCGCTTCCCACGATGCAGTTCGGCTAAAAGTGACGTCACCCCATTCAAAGTGAATGGGCAGAAGCGTTGGAAGCTTCAACGCACGCCGCTGTGTGGACGGGCCGTTAAGTCTGAGAGGAGAGCTCTCCTCCAGCTTGTTGTGGAACCAACAGCTCCGTATGTCCGTTAGTGCAGCTAGCTAACCAGATGCTAACAACACGGTCCCTGCTGCTGGCACCGGTCCCTCTCTCTCTCTCCCTCTCTCACACACACTAAATGCGCTATTTCCGCACACACACAGAGCCGAGCTTGAATGACACAAGCACATTTTTATTTCCATGCAACTCTCTGATTGGTCTGGTGTCTTGCCTCTGTTGCATTCACCGAACACGGGAAATTACAGTTCTGTCGTCCTCTCTAGTGTCTTGATGAGGTTCACGTAAAGCACGGTTAATGTATTATATTATGGAGGTAGAATTGTCCGGGGCTACAGAAACAACATTCGGGGCAGGCCAACATATTATTTTATCAACAATGTGGAATTTATTGGCTACATATTACACAGATTATGCACAGCGGGAGCAGCAATAACCGTCAAATAATAATTCAGACAGGGGAGCTCCGCAACCCCTGCCTGCCGCTAGGGGGTGCTGCAGCGCCCTCAGCACCCCCCTTCCCGCGCCCATGCTGTCGAGTCCTCACTGTTTGTAAAATAAAGAGCACAAACTGACTACTTACCCGAGCCCCGCTGTTCTCCGTCATTTTTCTCCCGGGTTGTTGTGATCACATGACTGACAAAGCCGTGCTCTGATAGGCCAGAAGTCGGTTCGATTGCATTCAGGCTCGATTGCTTATCCTGTCTGGGTAGCCCGGATGATGTTGCTTCGCAATTTTGGACATCACATTTTAAACACCGAAATTGTGCATTCGAATTTTTTTAACTTGAATTTTTGGGATCTGAATTTGAACATTCAAATAGTTTTAACTTGAATTTTTACATTTTTATTTCACATAGGTAAATTCGGAGCAAAAACATTCAGATACATGATTGTCAAAGTAATTATTTTCAATGCTATAAATTCGGTGTCTGATCAAATTCAAATACTTCTGTCTCTTGTTTGATTTCATAGTAAAAGTTCCTTCAAAATAAGAGTCCCGATCTTATTACTATCAAAATAAGTGCAAAACGAAAACTTTACCATAGGAAAATATTGGCATACAAATATAATCACTTCTCTAAAACGTAACTCATTTTAAATATAGTTAGACATATTAAAGGTCATTTACAATAATAATAATAATAATATTAATATTAGTAATAAGCTTTATATTTGTATAGCACCTATTACAAGAATTGTAGCCAAACTCGCTTCACAGCAGTTCAATAGACAGATTAGTATAACATGACAGGATAAAAGCAATGTAGAGGAGCAGCTACATTTCAACACATATATCCATGAAGATTAATACATGAAGACTTGTGACTCTGACTTGACTTGGACTCTTTTTAGGTGACTCGGACTCAAACACAGGTAATGATGACTCGGACTCGACTCGGACACTCCTTGGGTGACTCGGACTCGACTACGACTCTCCCTTGGTGACTCGGACTTGGACTCGTGAATTGGTGACTTGACTACAACACTGGTGTGTGTGTGTGTGTATGTGTTTTGGACTGTACCTGTACGGCGAATATGCCACACACTCCAATAATACAGAGGATGTTGAAGACGGCGGAGCCAACGATGGTGCCGACCCCGACGTCACCTTTCGTGATGAAAACTCCTGTAAACACAAATACCCATTACCCACTTCACAAACATTGTGTTCACATTTTGGGGATATAACTTCGCTATGATTGTAAGAAATAACAATCATTTTCAATTGAAGCTTGGGTATTTTCATTGTTATATTTCTGAAATCTTTACACAAGAAATTCTCTATTTGTTTGTTTTCCTTTTTCTGTGTATACTGTCACATAAAGTTCAAAAATCCTTTGTAATCTTATTTTATCTCTACAACTTTGTGAAACAACATACACATTGCAATAAAAAATAATTATCTGGATATGAAAATGTACAGAATACCAACAATTAATACAAAATACACATGACTATAACAAAAGTAGGCTATTATGAGACCAGGGGCCTCATGTATAACGCCGTGCGTAGGATTCACGTGGGAAGGTTGCTTACGTAGTAGAAATCCGAAAAATAGGTCCATAAATGTTCCGACATTTTCCGATTCACCGAACATTGCGTACCGGCGAGGAAAGTGCGTACGGCACTTCCTACGCCTGTTTCCCTTTATAAATCACAATCGACTCGAAATGCGGTGCAGTTTTTGCGGGCTTCACGTAACGCCCATATTTGCCTATAAATAGTCAAAGAAACGCCCATTCATTCATTAATTTTGACTGACTGCATGAAGAAGATAGCAGGAAATGACGACAGAACAGCTAAAAAAGACATCTCACACCGTGTCAGATTTTGGTTCTTTTGGGGAGGTCGAGATAAATCATATTGTTTGGTGGATGCAGTTTGAACCAGAGTAGCAGCATGGAGGTCGGATCGTCACCAACATAAATAAATAAGTGGTCCGAAAAAGTCTAATGACAAAATAAATACACATAGCCTTCCTCAGGCAGTGTGTTTGCACCGGGGACAGGACAGGACAGGACAGGACAGGACAGGACACCCCCCCCCCCCCCCCCCTTGATGAGAAACTAAGAAATGATCGGGGAATCCCCCCGGTGTGGAGTCATGACGACTGGATCTGAATTATTTGTTTGTATTTGGTAGTTTGTGTTCCAGCTTTCAATCAGCAACTATATATCCATAATCCACCAGTTAAAGGAAATACAACTAATGTGTTGTTATATTAGCTGTACAATTTACATATGGTGTTCTTCGTTTCCATACCTCCTGTGTTTTACGAGCGACTTGTCAAGTCTTGGCAAACGGCATAAAACACGATTAAACGTGATAGTATATAAAACCATGCTCGTATCTACAACCTATAGAAATGCAAAACGGCGTCAGTTTAGACGTAATTCTGTCCTCCTGCTTACCGCATCATTTATGAGAAAACATTTCATAACATTAACACAACATATTCGAGGTGGGTTTAAATAACATATCCGTATTTATTTATTTCTCCAAGTTATGTTTTTGTGAGCACTGAGGAGTCTCAAACAGGCGTTTGTTAAATCATTTTAAGATTGGCTTTAATCAATGTTTGAAAATGAATTCTTTATATGATAAATGAGAGGTAACATTTTGTTTATGGTATTCTTTCCACATATTTCTCTCCATTCTTCCTTCTGCCAACGGTGTCACAGTTTCTCGTCTCTCCCGTTTTTGTGCTTAGTGCGTACGCATGGGTTAGAGTTTGCGTGGAGGACCGCACATTTTCCCGTCAAGTTAGTATTTTATAAATCGCAAACATTGCGTAGAAACTGGCGTACGCCATTTTTTGAGCGTATATCCCTTTATAAATAAGGCCCCAGATCTTCAAAACGACCTCAACATACAACAGTTTACATTTTCTACTTATATTCCAGGTTGAGTTCTGTGGTTCCAAACAATGAACAGTAACAGCGCAACGTTGCACATTCACAATTTCCAATCCTTTAAACACTTTTTACCAATGTTTTAATTGTGGCTTAAGATAAGGCTGATATATTTTACTTTATAAAACCCTTTTAATAGACTTTCCATTACCCTTTAAATGTCATTGGTGACCCAGAGATGAAAAGCATGCTGTAGATATGACTCTTTGATGTGGATGGAAAGATTGAAAAAACGTCATAAACAAAAAAAAAGTATATGGTACTTGGTCATCTAATAGTATTAGATCTAATATTATTAGATTACCAACATTCCAACATTTAAAAACACAAGTTCTTCAATACCTAAAGTTGCTCTTTCAGAATGTGTTTAATGTGGGCTTTTGAGTGTGTGTGTGTGTGTGTGTGTGTGTGTGTGTGTGTGTGTGTGTGTGTGTGTGTGTGTGTGTGTGTGTGTGTGTGTGTGTGTGTGTGTGTGTGTGTGTGTGTGTGTGTTTCTCACCAATGACAGAGGTGAACAGTTCAGGTGCAGAACTTCCAGCTGCCATGAAGGTCGCTCCTGCTACATCCTCGCTCAGCTGAAGTCGCTGTTTGTTGAGAGAAGATAAACGATATATAGAAACAAGACACAGCAAGAAAAATAAATAAATTTCTTCACAGAAATACATTAAAGTGGCTTAAAAGAAGAGTCGTGATCGAAGCTCAATGGTAGTGCAATCATAACCTGCTGGTTTGCATACCTCACAGAGCTTCTCTAGACAGGGGACAAAGTAGTCGTCACACACCAAGGCCAGGGCATAGAACATGTAGACCGCCTGAAGGGGCCAAACACACACAAACATACATACATAGATATTTAAGAAAGTGAAGCCGAACATTGTCCATCTACCTAGAGTAACATATGTGTTTAACTTGTACTTAAACCAAGTGAAAAAAACATCAAATTGAATAAAAACATGTAGCAAACTGCTAACTCTTATTCAGACGCTGGTTTAGTAAAATAAAAACAGTATCATGGGGCTAATATGTGTCCACCTTGAGAAAAAGAGCTGCACAAAGAGTCTTTTTTCTGAATCTTTTATGAACGTGTTTGTGGTTAGAAGCCTGAAATAAATGTTTGTGGTTAACACAACCTTAAGAGATTGTTTGTTCTATGTCTTGAAAAACATCAGTAAATACCCCAGTTGTGAATGTCCGAAGATTCTATGACAAAGAAAATGTTTACAAGTGACTAAATTAATTATATATCATCATCACATTATATCTAATCCAATGGGGAAATCACGCTTTTAGTCAAGGGAGCCATTGCAATGCTAACTTCCGGGTCGGCCTACACAAATACATTATCACTGCAACACTCTATAAATGCTTCGAGTTGAACATATTTCAACTTCCAGAAAAGTGCTGGTGACTGTCTGAAAATGGAGGAAAATATTGTATTTGAGCATGTCTTTCATTCGGAAAACTATGATAACAAAGACCAATTCATGTTTCTTTTAGCAAATTGGCCGTCATAGAAAAAAAAGAGCTGGGAAAGTTTGTGGATGTCCTGAGATGAGGCTCTGCCCAATTACCTGACAGCGACATTCTGCCTCAATTCCCTCTGTTAAAGAGTTAGTTCATTCAAATTGCATATTTATTTTCCACAAAGTGAGAGTCCCTATAACAGCTTGCCGTTTGGGTTACACAAAATAATCAGGCTACTGTTTGTGTAGAAGCACACTACAGTAATATGAGGCCAATCTGTAGTGTTCATTCTGCAATTCAGATAGATAAAAGCTCTGTCCAATACTTGCGCATATGTATTAAACATATTTGAGACAGTTTTAGAATTGCTTCAGAAAATATGTTTTGGTTACTATGCAGAGTGTTGACTTAAATAGGTTCATAAACCAGGCCTAAAAAAAGATTAATGTAATTAAAGGGAATGACATGACCTCAGTTTGACATGTGTAGCAGTTTTGGTGTCTTTAGAGTCAATAAGTGTGTCTTTGGATCACATATAAGCCTCTCTTTAACATCTGCCAAACACTTCCGAATTGCTCCCCACTGGCACTTGGCTCAGTGGGTGGATTCTCCGAGTGTTGTGTGAGTAAGTTAGTATTAAACACAGGCATTTATGTTTAATTTCCCAGTTGTAAGTGGTATGCAAATTGAATTTATAATGCATTTTCTGTGACTAATAAAATTACTTTTACAACACAATATGGCATTGACCCATCTGTGATGCCACCTGCTTGTAAGAGGCTATAAACCTTGACACACACTCATGGCTGTGACATCAGGAGACATTTGGGATTCAGTACCCTCCCACCAATCTTTCAATCGCCAGACGATTACTCTACTTCCTGAGTCACAACCATCATATGCAGAATTGTAAAGATGTTTCATCTTTTAGTCAAAGTCTCTTTGATTTGATCACCTACACAAGGTTACATTTTCTGTCAATACTGTTTGCTATAACTAACCTCAAAACACCTTTTCATTTCTTAAAGAATAAAAAGGTCCACCATACTAAAATCTGCTGCTCTAAATGTATTGTCTTTAAAAAAAATACTGTTCTCTCTCTCTTATTAGTTCCTTATCATGCTACAACTATAACCTGTCTTAGCATTAAAAACATTGTATATTTCTATTTAAATAAGCATTATATTCAATTGGCCGCTGTGGCAACTCAAATTTAGTATTTCTGTCAGTGGATCTACATATCACATTATGATAATTAATACATAAATAACAGCTTTAGAAGTGCTGGCACGCAAAGTTTAACAATCATCTACAAATACTAAAATGTTATAATGATCGCTAATTGGCACAGTTAACACAAAGATGGCAAATGTACGCTATAGATAGATGCTACACATGACCATAACAAGACAGCAGTGTTATATGGCTGGAAGAGGGACCACCATTTTACGGCCATAGCCTGAATTTGCAGCTTGATGGATTCCATAGAAAGTATCTAGTATTGATGTTAGCAATATATTAGCAGTGTGTGTGTTAATCATACGTAGCCTCTTAGATTAGCCCTCTGTACTCAAAGACACTCTAAAGAGTTTGCTGTTCATTTTTTTAAGTAGATACAGTTCAAACAACCCTGTTTATCACTGGCAAAAGTGAGCATCCCATGATGTACTGATGCACCTTGCTAAATAAGCTAGCATCTGCTTTCTAAAATCAGCAGAGAAAACAAACAAAATGGCTACTCCCATATTTGGATTCACTCCTTCATGTATTTTAAATGTTGTTCAACCAGTTATCCAGAGAGAAAAGTTCACATGTTGTAGGTTAAATATAAATGTCAGTGCCGTTTTGTCTCTGTCCTTTTTGACTCTGATGAAGACAAAGTATTGTTGGAGCATCAGTCTGTTTGCATTATTTAAAGCCTCAATTATTTCAGTGTGCTCCTTTTCTCCCTTAAAGACCATAACACATTTAGGAGAGTTTTTAGTTGCAGCTATTGTGCTGAAATACTACATCTATCAAATCTTGATGATGAAACTCAAACATCCGTTTTGTTTGTATATAAGCTTTAGCATTAGCTGCTAACTTAGCCTTTGTATTGCTAATCCTGCCGGGTCTGAATATTCCCCAGCTGCGCTGTCTCCTGAAAAGTATATGATAATAACTTTCATTTTAATATTTAAGTTAAAGATGGCTCTACAGGATCTCCAAGACATATTTATAATTCAGTGTTATAACAGAGTAACCTGCATTGATATGCTGCTGCATGATCAACCTTAAAGACATACATATTATTTAAAAGCTTTTTCTGCAATCGTTATTGAGCACTGGCCCTTTTCTAAGTACAGTATGAAACATGGTATGTACAGTACAGTGCTGCAGGTAACACTCACACAGAGGACGTGCAGGCCCACTGCTCCATCAACACGCTCCTGGTTGGTGAAGTAATCCCTGGGAAACTCGTGGATTGCTGCAGAGAAAAATACACACATTTGCTTATACACTTAAAAATAAAAAATAAACATATGAAAAATTACTTAATTAATTACATAGTTAAATACTAAATTGCTATTATGAGCACAAATTATTTTGATATAAGACTATAACAATTAATCTTTCCACAGAACCTCAAATATTAGTAATATTTACTTTATTTATTTTACTTGGTTTCCCCATGTTTTCACTTCAAATCTTCACTTCAAAGGTGCCAGTAGCCCAGGAGGTTTAGCGGTCAACTACTACAGAACCCAGAAAACACATAAGTGTGCTTATTCACGTTTAATGCTCCCGATAAACAGAGGGCATCTTGGCCACAGGGGTGTGAATGGTTGTGTGCATGCTAGCTTATGTTCTACAATTTTGAGTGGGCACTAAAATAAGATTATATGAAAAAGTCAGTTTGCTAAATAAGTGTTTACCCGCCAAATTCTAAATTCATAACACGAGAAAACTAGTTTGTCTAAGATCTCATAAATCACTTGGATGTTGCACTTAAAAACAAATCTGTTCGGAAGTGATACTTAAAGGGGACCTATCATGCAAAATGCACTTTTGTACGTATGAATATGTGTCCCCAGTGTGTCAGGGAACTCACCAAGTGTCAGAAAACACAACCCTCTCTCTTTTCCTCCATACCCAAATCTCTAAAAACGGGGCTGCAACGGATCTGATACAGACTGATACAGATTTTAAAATTCTCTGACGTCAGGAATGAGGAGCTCCGCCTATATGGGCAACTCTCCACCTATCAGGGGAATGTGGGGTTGGGCCACGGCCGGCCATTGCCGCTCGAAAGCGCTGGAGACGCTGTAGTACATATGCCAGGCCTGTAAGTGGCGCTGTAGTCTGCCACAAAAGCAGCGAAGAAGACTTCCCGCGCATGGTTGCCCTTCTGTTTATTCTCCGCTGTGGCTCTTGTTCTCCCTCCCCGAGGCAAGCGTTTGCTCCTGTAATTCAATGCAATCCCTCCCCGTCGAGGCAAGCACAGTAATTCTCTCCGGTTTGCCACCAGCAGATGACAAACACCCACCTCTCCGCCTCTTCCAAGGAACGAGGGGGCCGTGTGGCAGAGTTTCAGTTCGATTTTTTTTCGCCGGTCAACGTGTCCGTTAAAGTTTAAATCTTCCGGACACAATTAGAAAAGTGCCGGTCTAAGGTATTCTTTTTTATTTATTGAGCTTTAAAACAAATGAATAATGACTCTATATAATCATATAAGAATAAAACACGAAGGACGGAGATCTCTTTTTCTCCCCCTCTTCTGAGAGCCCAACAACTGATCTCAAAGCACGCTCTCCTCTCCTGCAGGGGGGCGTGGTCAGCTGCAGCTCATTTGCATTAAAGCTACGTCAAAAAATCAGCCCCTGCAAAAACAGGGCTGGAAAGAGCAAATAGAGCGAAATGAGGCATGGCTAAAATGCAGGATATGTTCGGTATTTAAAAAAAACAACTATATTTATATACTTTATATAGGTATGGCCCTACAATATATTGTTCAAATATAGCATGATAGGTCCACTTTAAATTAGGCCCAATTTAACAATGTCTCTACTGTAGGCTATTTTTATTATATGTACAGCACTTTGGCTCGACCAAAAATCGTTTATATAAATGTGCTATATAAATAAAACTTGATTTGATTTGAACAAGAACAGGGGCCTCATTTATAACGCCTTGTGTAGGATTCACGTGGGAAGGTTCTTACGTAGTAGAAAGCAAAAAAATAGGGACAGACATTTTCCGATTCACAAAACATTGCGTACCGGCGAGGGAAGTGTGTACGCCACTTCCTACGCCTGTTTCCCTGTATAAATCACAATCAACAAACTGTAAGAAATGATCGGAGAATCCCTCCGGAGTGGAGTCATGACGACTGGATCTGAATAATTTGTTTGTATTTGGTAGTTTGTGTTCCAGCTGTCGATCAGCAACTATATATCCATAATCCACCAGTTAAAGGAAATACAACTAATGTGTTGTTATATTAGCTGTACCATTTACATATGGTGTTCTTAGTTTCCATACCTCCTGTGTTTTACGAGCGACTTATCAAGTCTTGGCAAACGGCATAAAACACGATTAAACGTGATAGTATATAAAACCATGCTCGTATCTACAACCTACAGTATAGAAATGCAAAACATATGAGAAAACATTTCATAACATTATCACAACATATTCGAGGTGGTTTTAAATAACATATCCGTATTTATTTATTTCTCCAAGTTATGTTCTTGTGTGCACTGAGGAGTCGCAACCAGGCGTTTGTTTAATCATTTTAAGATTGGCTTTAATCAATGTTTGAAAATGAATTCTTCATATGATAAATGAGAGGTAACATTTTATTTATGGTATTATTTCCACATATTTCTCTCCATTCTTCCTTCTGCCAACGGTGTCGCAGTTTCTCGTCTCTCCCGTTTTTGTGCTTAGTGCGTACGCATGGGTTAGAGTTTGCGTGGAGGACTGCACGTTTTCCCGTCAAGTTAGTATTTTATAAATCGCAAACATTGCGTAGAAACTGGCGTACGCCATTTTTTTTGCGTATATCCCTTTATAAATGAGGCCCCAGATCTTTACGCTTTTATTGTTTATAAAATGAAGCACCCGGCATTGAGGCAATTTTTTAAAAAGTCGTGACCATAGACTGTTTATATAAAGGTTGTGACCAGACATGACGCTGCCAGGATAGAGAGGATTGGAGGCGGGGCTTAAGGACTCACAAGTGTGCATGCTCTTTGGGCCCAGATCCCCCAGATTTGAGTATTTTTGTATTGGAGAGTTAGGGCCTTTTGGCTTTATGCACCACTGCATTGCAACTTTCATAGGAATAGTCAGGTCCCCGCTTCCAACGCTGTAACCACTTCTCTTTATACATCCATGGTTGAAACATGTCACAGCTCTTTTGGATCTCAGGTTTACAGAACTGCAACGTAATAACCTGAACCAGATACAGTGATTCACACAGGGCTACATTGACATCACTCCGTCCATCAAACCTGAACTCAACAGTGGGGACACCGTGACTCTATCACTGTGCAACAGCAGCATCCAATCAAAAAATTCCAAAATATGCCACACATTCATTCATTCACCTCCATCGAGTTCATTATCCTGTTGCATATGAGTCTGCATCCCGTCTAAAAATAGCCTGGTGTGATCGTGTGTGTAAATTGGGATTTGCTTGGCTTGCTCTGTCTGCGAGCATGTGTGTGTTTTCACGTCGCAGACTGTGTTTGTTTGCTGTGTGTGTTTGCGCTTGTGTAACGCGCAAGGCAACCCAATGTGCAGTGACATTCTCTCTCTACAGCCGAGAGCTTGTGAGTCAGGCGGCTTGAGCTCCAGCGCGGCCTGTGTGGCCCAAACACAACACGGGCCTGTCCGTTCATAGGAAGTGACAGCAGCACGGAGAGAGAGGGGGGGGAGAGAGAGAGAGATAGAAACGAGTGGCAGGAAGGGAAACAAAAAAGAGGCACCATAAATAATCTCACATGATGTAGAGCTAGAAAAAACATCAATAAAAGCTTCAAAAATAAATCCATTTGTAAAATGGACATTTAAAGATGACATATTATGCTCACTTTCAGGTTAATATTTGTATTGTGTGCCTCTACTGTGGGTGTTTACATGGTTTAATGTTTTAAAATGTTTTATTTTTCTCAGACTGCATGTGCTGCAGCACCTCTTTTCACCCTCTGTCTGAAACAAGAGCTCATTCTTCTATGATTGGTCAACCACTTAGATATGTCCCGCCCCTTAGCCTATCACGCAAATGTTGAATTGAAATGCATCAATCTGGTGCACTTTGAGCACAACATGAATTTATGGATACAGCTCTCAACACTCATATGAAAGGGAGCTACTTTTCAATAATCCAAACATCTTTAGAATATGATCACAACCAATAACAAATCATTTAAACTTGTTTATTCTTATCTTTTATTACCTATAGTTAGCATTCTTTCTTTTTATTTATGCATATTTTACTAATCACTACATCATATTCATTGTGGGGGGTGGGGGGAGGAGGGGTGTTAGATATATATAGAGTTGTAGTAAGTACAGTAGATAGAGTTCGCTATGATTGAGGTTTCTTTTATGCATATGGGTAGATTATTTTAATTACATTCCCTTTTTTTGTGTGTATTTTTTACATTTTGGAGTTTTTCATTTACAGGGGGGCCACAGGGGGGTCCAAAGTCAGTGTTAGGGGGGTACTGGCCCCCCCTAGAATCACCCTTGAAGAATTTAAACTTTAAACATCCATGACTTAAACACTTTATCCAAAAGAAAGAAAGTGTTTGAATGCGTACATTAACAGGTTTATGATATCACTGCCCAGTCTAAAACACGAGTGGGTCTAACTTTAAATTACATTTGACTCGAGTGTTTCGTCAACTTAATGTGTTGCTTAAAATAATACTTCTGCATACAGTATGTGACACTGTGAGTGTTGCACGGCCAGATGCGGCACAAGAAGCTGACTCAGATAAGGAAATAGGCCTCTATGATACATTATGATGTGATATGATGTGATATGAATGATAATGGGACACATCTACATCTGCACTCACAGTGCCGCGGACTGTACGTAATGTTACTCTGATCCGGTTACTTATGTTGTGGCAGATATTTAAGTAAGCTTTCTTAACGCTAATGTTATAATAGTCAGATTGCTCTGAAGATGGGAGGTGATATTCTATTCATTTTCACGTTCACACAGTCAGTTGATTTTTGCTGGCCGTCTTTCCTGCAACGGCAGTTTTTCTGTATTTCCTTTCTCCTGTAATATGACTTGATCGCTTTAAACTCCGCACACTGAGCTCTGATTGGTCAGCAGGCGGTGCTTTCACTGAGTTGATCTCTTATCCTGGAACCTAACCTGCTCCGGAGCAGGGGGGTATACTATGAATCTAGTTCAACCTATCCTAGATGTGTTTTGAGTTATCCGGTTGACTTAATCCAAAACAA